TCGTAAAATATCCTAATCAACACATTCGGAGAATATCTTTACGATAGAGAAAAACATTTGTGCGAGTGCAAGCTATATCGATCAACAAAAACTATCAACTTTTACAAAAAAACGTGGTCTCTAATCAAAACGAGGCTATAACAAAAATGGATTCAGGGGGTCTAAGCTATAATTCAGTACACTCCCCCAAATCAAGTGTCTTTACTCTTGATTTAATGACTGTGCATGTACTTTCAATAATTCGTCAGCTGCAAAAGCTGCTATTCTTCTTGGCTTGACTTCTTTTGCCTGAACTTGCTTTTCCTGAGTATATTGCTCTTCTACTTGTGCTTTTATCTCTAAGGGGCATATTCCTTGAAGTGGTCTTTCCATTACAATCTTCCGCCCTTGAGATACCGCATCTAATCTTACTGCTCGAACTACATCATCTCTTCCTTTTATGTAACTGGAGATTTTGGCTAACTTCCAGAAACGTCGTTCAATGGTAGTATCTATGATCAATACCAAAGTTCCAAGCTCTGGTAATGCTTCTCCTCCTTTAGTCGTGCGATGATATTCGCGAAGACCTAAAAGATACTCCTTTGACCATCTATTCCATACATGCTCTAGCTTAGCTCTCAAGAACTTTATTCTCTTGTTCACGTTCTTGTCATCAAAATCTGCATCGTTGTCATACTTGACATCTCCTATCATTGCTAGTCGATGACCATGAATCATATGATTTGGAGTGAGGGGCTCTTCCTCTAAATCTGATGTTTGATAGGTAAGTGGTCGATTATTTATCATTCCTTCAACTTCTATCAACATGTTTTCCAGCTCTCTAAAGGTTAGTTTTGCCTTTCCCATGGTCTTGAATAATGCTGTCTTGGTTATTCCAACTAATCTTTCAAAGAAGCCGCCTTGCCACGGTGCCTTAGCTACATTGAAATGCCAATCAATGCGGTTGGCCAACAAAAAATCCTGCAATTCTTGCTCTACACATATCTTCTTCAAGTGCTTTGCAGTGGCAAGGAATGTTTTTGCATTGTCACTTATTACTGTAGCAGGTGCTCCACGTCTGCTGATGAATCTTCGAAACATTCCTCTAAACTCATTGGCTGTCATATCTTCTGTGAGCTCCAAGTGTACTGCACGGGTTATGCCGCATGTGAATAGTGCAACATATGCCTTCTCTTCATTCTTCAAATATATAGGTCCTGCAAAGTCAACTCCGGTTGTACTAAACGGGTTGCCTCGAACCACCCTCTCTGCTGGTAGCTGTCCAGATTGAGGTGGTGCACATGGCTTTGCATTTCGCTTATTGCAAACCATACATTGACGCAATTGTTGCTTCACGGCCTGGCGTCCCTTTAAGACCCAAAACTTGCTTCTGACTTCCGCTAATGTTGTATTTACTCCCCCGTGTCCTGTACGCTTGTGACACTCTGAAATTAGCAAACTTGTAAATCTGCTATCCTGGGGTAACAGTATTGGAAACTTGCTTTCAACTGGTAGTGTTGTGTTTTGAAGACGTCCTTGGCAGTGTAAGATTCCATTGATTTCTATCACTGCAAGCTGTGTCTTTATTTGAGAGTAACTATTTCTTCCTTTCACCATCACTTGTGTATCTTTTATCCACAATTCTTCTGCCTCTTGGATCTCTTCTACACGCAACATTTGAGTATCTGGCCTTTTCTTCTCCTTGAGGCAACTTATAAACCTAAGCACAAGAGCTGTAACTCTCAACAGTTTGCCATATGAGCCATAGTTTTCCGCAGGCACTAAATTGTTGATTGACAGACTTGGTTCTTCTTCAGCAATTGGAAGTGTACACTGTCTTTCTTCAGCCTTGCTTTCAACTGTTTCGATCAGGTGAGGCTGGTGGGGATAATTTCCATCCACTATGAACTCTGGTCCATTCCACCAAAGCTTGCTTTGCTCTAATTGCTGGGGAGACAATCCTCTTGTGCCCAAATCTGCAGGATTCTCAGCTGTGGGCACATATTTTAAATTTACATCCGTTGTCAATGCTTGTATCTCATCTACTCTTCTCTGGACAAACTGTCTGTATTGACCTCGATTCTCTAGCCAATGTAGCACTGTGCTGCTGTCAGACCACAGAACTAGCTCTTCTAGCTCCCAGTTCTTTAGAGTTTCTCTGACTGTTTTCAACAACCGTGCTGCGATCCTTGCTGCTGTTAGTTCCAACCTGGGTATTGTCATCTCTTTCCTTATTGGAGGTAACCTTGTCTTTGCAGTAACAAGGTGTGCACCTGACTGGTTTTCTTTGTGCCATACAAGGTATACAGCAGTGCAATATGCAGCCTTGCTTGCATCACCGAAAACATGAATTGAAATCTTCCTTGGTCCACCGATTGCTGGCATAATGCATCGGGGAATCTTGAGTTCAGTCAACCTTGAAACAGCTTGCATCCATTTCTTCCATCTCATTTCAATCTCTGGGCTTACTGGCTCATCCCAATCCTTGTTTTCCTTGCAGATATCTTGGAATATCAGTTTTGCAGTAACTGCAACTGGGCCCACAATACCCAGTGGGTCATATACCTTTGACAGTCTGCTTAGGACTTCTCTCTTCGTCACTTTACCATTCTTCACATCTAGCACTGCTTCCATACTAATTCCTAGTGTGTCCTCTTCTGGATTCCATTTTAATCCTAAAATTTTACTTTGTGAATCTTTGGTACCTAGGCTTTCCTTTGCATACGTCACTGTAGTTGAATCTTTTTGATCACTTTTCTCCTCTATGTGCTTTCTGACCTCCACATGGTTGGTCTTCCACTTATGGAGTTGAAAAACCTCCTTTTCTCATAATCTCTGTAATTTTGTCTTTCAACTCTATGGCTTGCGTACTGTCAGCAGCTCCACTCACAAGGTCATCACAATACATGTTTGGTAAGACATTTTGGACAACTGCTGGTTCTTCTTCTTCGTACTTCTTGAGGTGCCTTTGCAATGTTGCATTTAACAAATATGGACTTGGTCCACTTCCAAAAATGACTCTAGTAAACCTGTATTCTTTAACCACAGGTTTCTCATTTGTGACATCTTCCACCCACAGGAATCTCATACTGTCTCTGTCCTTCTCATCAACTAAGATCTGATGGAATGCACTCTTGATGTCACCAACAAGCGCCACTGGAAACATCCGGAACCTCAACAGCACATCATGTAGCATAGGTAGCAATGATGGTCCTGTGTATAAACACTCATTCAAACTCTTGTCTCCTTTTCTTTCTTTTGCTGACCCGTCGTATACAACTCGGACTTTTGTGCTCTCCGCATTCTCACGTATTACTGGATGATGTGGTAGGAAATGGATTCTTTCTCCTGTAGGATGATCTGGTACTTCCTCAATTATACCCTGTTCTATCTGATCTTTAATGACATCATCATATTTCTTTAATATTTCCGGTTCCTTCTTTAATCTTCTGAGTTGCGCATTTAGCCGCCTTTCACAAAGATTTCTGTTTGTTTGCAAATTGACTCTATCTGATTTCCATGGCAACTGCACACTGTATCTCTCTCCATTGAAAGTTACTGTATCTTCAAATTTCTCTTCCACTGAGTTTTCTTCCCTGATCCCTACTGTCTCCAAATCCCACAGTTTGGCTATCTGATTGCTCAGATTTTCCTTATCAGTTGTCAACAGCAGTGAACTTGAACAACTTTGATCCTCTGCTGAGTTTGTTGGTCCCATTAGAGTCCAACCCAGTGTTGTTTCTTCTGCAACAGGATCACCAGCATTTCCCCATTTCATGTTTCCTGTTTTGAGCTTGCAAAGGTCTTCCAATCCAATGATGACATCAATTTCAAGTTCTCTTTCACTTGAAATATCTGAAAATTCCAGGTTCTTCAAATGGTTGAATTTTTTCTTTAAAATCTGGGGCTTCACATTCTTGACAGATGTCAGCTTGCTGAGTGTGGACACCTCAGTTTCAAATTTCAGCTTTTCTGTCATGTCTTTTACTTCTATCTTGTACACTGAGCAGATATGTTGCCTTTCTCCATGCACAGTGTCCAGAACTTTTCTTTCCTGTCTTAATGGCTTGGATTTCAGCAAATTAGCAGTTTTTTGCAACATGTATGTCTTATCACACCCTGTATCCAACAGACATCTGCAAATAATACTTGGCTTTCCCTTGACATTCACTTTGGCTAACACAGTTTGATATGCTATTCCACCAGGTGTGACAACATGCATATTTGGAACACTCTCTTCTTTTTCACATATCACAGGGTGATGCTCCCCTTCATTGCACTTGCTGCAAGGCTTCTTGTTGTAGCAATCTTTGACACGGTGACCTTTCTTCAAGCAGCAAAAACATCTCTTATACCTCATCAATATTGACTTCCTCTTCTTCACTTCAGTGACAACAGAACAGTCAGCACTACTGTGCTCTCCAAGACAAAAAGCACAGGTTGCATTTGGTGAAATAGCAAATGCTTTTCCTTTGTTAGGATTCCTCTCTTCTCTTGAATTCTGCACTCTTGGTGTTGCTTCATCCATACCCCTGAACAGAAGTTCCTCTCTGAGCTTGTTCAAAAATTCACTCATGGTCCACTCATGGTCTACAGACATTGTTCTTCTGATGGAAAGTTCAACATCTCTTGGTATCTTCTTCATTAAATCTGGTACAATAACTAAAGAATACTGTTCTTCAGAGGTACCTAATACAGATAATGCTTTTACATGCATATCAACAAGTTCATACAACTTTTTTAACCCATCTAAATTTTTAGAATAAGTTACAGCAACAACAGCCTTTAATGCAGACATGTGAGATCCCTTCAATACATTAGCTTTACCATATTTCTCTTTTAAAATGTCAACTGCAGGCGCATAATTGTCCCCAGTAGTTCGCAAATCCGCAATCGCATGACAAGCAGTACCCTTAAGAGAAGCCTTTAGGTAAGACATCTTGTCAACATCACACAATGAAGAATTCAAATGAATATTCCTTTCAAAAGAGTCCCAAAATTCCATCCAATTCATCATATTCCCATCAAATGATTTCAATTCAAGTTTTGGCAACCTTAATTTACTGCTCAAATTCTCCCCAGTATTTCTTCTTCCCATACTTGGTGAATACTGAGGTTGCCAGGGAGGTTGTGGGAAATAATTTTGCATATAGGGGTTAAAAGGTTGCCCTAAAGGTTGGTACATAGAATATTGTCTTTCAAACCCCCCAACAGGATACTGGCTGTGTCCTTGTTCATTTCCAAATCTTCCTTCATGGGGTGAGTTCATTGAGAAAAATGAATTAGTAGTAGTAGGCTTACCAGCTGCTTGTCGAGAAGAATCATTCTGTTTCTTCTTTGAACATTTGTTAAGTAACATACCTATTTTTGCATCATATGAACGACTTGTTGTGTACTCTCTTACCAATTCTGACTTAAAATTCAATTTCTTCATTATCTCTTGAATATCCTTCGACACTGATTTTATATCCATCAACATAGGCTCTACAATCAGCTTTAACTCCATTATTCTTGACT